TCTCCAAGGCCCTAGAGATCTAAAGAGAGAACTCAAGGCACTTCAAGAAGAGAAGCTCTGCTTTCCATAGTTTTTTGATATGAGACCATGTAAGAAATTAAATTGTACAAAGGATTTTGTTGGGACTAGTGCATGAATGTCTCTCGTACCTGTGAGTTGCTAGAGGATAAGGGCTGAGAAGAGGCCACTGGGTTTAGACATGAGGAACGTGGTGGTGACCCTGGTATAAGGCATCAGCTCTCTTGGGTTGCTACCAACAGAAACCAACTCTGGCTATTCTAAGCAGAGAAGGAATTTGTAAACCTGGTGCGGGGATATAGTGGGCATTCATTTTCCCTTCCTAATCATACCTTTAGGCCCACCGTCTGTGGTGCAGAGCTGGAAGCCACATGCTGAGTGGGGTTCGAATCTCCAGCCCAGTGGGCCTGAAATCATGCTGGGTTTGTGTGTGCATGTGCTCAGAGTGTTGCCTGGCTGGCAGACTGAATGAGAGTGAGTGCAGCACGCATGTGATCAGAGTGTTGGCAGGCTGGCAGACTGAATGAGAGTGAGTGCAGCATAACCAGGCCCCGTGGAGGGTCTCTCTGGCTCTCTCTTTCTCACACATGGAGGTACTTATTCATAAGTTAAAAAAGAAAAAAATGTAGTACCTTAAGTTAGCTAGAGTTGGATCCTACTGCTTGCAATCAATAATGCTAACCGACTTGTTTAGTTCAGGAAATAAAGGGAAGGCCCAAAGAAAGCTTACAAAGGATGGCACATGAGGCGAAAAGGAGATCTTCCCAGGGTACCTCTGAATTAACGTCACACCTCTTCAGGTGTTTCGTTATTCATGGCTCAAAATTAAAATTCCAGGAAAAGCGCCTGACTGGCCACTGTTTGGGGGTGAGACAGGCACTTTGACTGACAGTGCCCCAAACCCCCACTTGTCCTGGATGGAGAAAGAGGCGTTTCTGCAAAGCAAGGTCAGGGTGCTTTATGTGAGGTGATGAAATGAAATAGCCAATAAACCCAGAGAGCGAGGTTTCCATGGAGTGCGAAAGGAAGTTTGACTGGGTTCAATAGTCCAGGACAACGCCTCAGTGTGTGGCTAAAGACACCTGGTGGTTCCTGGGAATTTCTGAAATCTTCACTGTTACCCATTGGCAGTCAGTTTAAAGCAGGCATGTCTACGCTGACCGACATCACCTCCCATAGAAACCTTTCCTTCTTTCCTTTCTTATCTCCCTTGACGAATATGACTTCACACTCTCAAGTCCCGTCCAAGTTTTGGGATGCATCATCATGTATGTGAGCCTCAGGAAGATTTGTGTGTGTGTAAAATATTGAAATAACTGGAACCACACGAACAGAAGATGTTAGTAAGTGTCTTCCTTCTGACTTACTGCCTGTTTCCTCCAGCAAGTCACTTTGCCTAGCGGAATCTCAATTTGTTTACCTGTAACAGGATCGTTATATAAGTATAAGCCACCTTTCCCTGAATACTCACTATGTGTCCACAGCAGGGGTCACACATTTTAGTGCATTCAGGGCCCTGGGGAGTATAGAAGTGAAGGGGATGGGAGGAGGGAATATGTGAGACAATAAGGAATAGTGGGGACTATGGGAAACTGGAGGGAATGCCTTCTTCATAGAAAGAGAGCAGCTCTACTAGAGCAGCTCTCAAGGTGTGATCCCTTGATCAGAATCATCAGCATCACCTGGAACCCTGTTAGAATCCCGATTCTGGGTCCCACCCGAGACCTATTGAATCCAAACTCAGGGTGGGGATCCCAAGGTCTGTGATTTAACAAGCCCTCTCCTTCATTCTGAGGCACATTCCGTTTTGAAACCCCCGTTCTAGTGTATGGCTGTTCGGTGAGATTGCAAGGCTGTTTCCAGGTCTCTTACTTTTTCTAAGAGCAGTTAGAGATTTATTTTTATGTAAATTTTCCCACTCTCAAATCTTGGCAACTAATAATTAGAAACTATAAAATGGGACCAACAGATGGCATAATGGTAACATTGCTGGACTCCCGCGTGGTTCAAGTCCTCGACCTGGTGACTTAAAAGTCACGCCGGGTGCGTGTGCATGCGTGCCCAAGATCCCAAGAGGAGTATGGAGGAGAAGGGATTGCAGCGTGTCCAATCTCCCCGGGGAGAGTGATTTCTCACTTTCTATCTCTCTGTCTGTCCAGCGAGCACACACACTCTATAGCAAAATCTCTCTTAAAAAGAAGTAAATAAAATAGGGGGACCAGCAGATGGTGTAATGGCTACGTCGCCGCTAGACTCCTGTGCTGTAGACCATAGTTTGAGTCCCGAACCCAGTGGCTTAAACTCACACTGGGCATGTGTGAGTGTTTGTCCAAGATTCCGAGAAAAGAATGGAGGAGAAGGGATTGCAGCGTGACCATCCCCCCCTGGGGGGTGATTTCTCGCTTTCTGTGTCTCTGTCTCTCTCTGTCTCTCTGGCAAATACAAGAACCCTATAGCAAAATAAAATAAAATAAAATAAATCTCCCAAAAAAAAAGAAGTAAATAAAACAAAAACTTTAAAATGTACTATGTGGGCTAATAATATATTTGTCCTAGCTAGACTGGTATCTCCTGGTTTATGCTTTCCCCTTTAAACCTTACAATAATCCTGCAAGACAGTACGAAACCCATCATATGGAGAAGAAGACTCGGTCTAAAAAGCCGAGTGCTGCCCTGTGGCACACAGCCAGGAAGCGGCCAACCCCTGACTCGGGTCGGGATGCATTTGGTTCTGATACCTCTGCCCTTTTAAGTTATCGATACATAGAAGAGAAAACATATGACCTTACCGAGCACAGAGCCAGGCCACCAAGGCAAAATATCTGATGCCTTACACCCTACCCCACCCCACCCCACTCCCTCTGCCTCATGCTAATCCGCATTCCCGTAAGAGAGAGCTAATCAGCGGGGAAGCCCAGGAGGACCTGGGAGGGGCAAGGCCAGGCAGTTTCCTGGCCAGGGGAGCTGGATAAGTCACTGGAGAAAGCTGTGGGCAGCGGTGCCTGGGGCTGAACATGCAGTAGCCAGTTGAGTCCACAGGCTAAAACTGGCTACTCACCAAAGTGTCCTCTGCGTGCCCTACACTGAGTTTCGGGAGTCTGCTCAGGGCCATGTCCCCTCCAAGCTCCTGCCTTTCTGCTGCTGTTGACTGTTCTCTGAGCTCAGAGTAAACAGCCCCTCCCAACAACGGCATGTGTCCAGTCCACGGCCGGGCAAGGGGAGCTGGGAGAGGCTTTCTCAGCGTTCTTCATGAGCATCCGTCTGTGGGGACAGGAGCAGGATGTACTCACATCCTCAAGCCCTCTCACCTGTCATCCCAGCGGCCACTGTCCAGGACACCCTCTAGCCTCCAGGGCTCATAGCCTCCTAGGGCTTGGAGAAACAGCTCGCCAGAGGTGGAGGAATGCTTGAAAGCACTTCCTGTCTGACTCCCTGGGTAACTGGGCACTTACCACCCTGGATTCTAAAACTTAGTGTAGTGCGGCTGACCTTAGGAACAGGAGATGCAGGTCATCTGCCAGCTCTCACTCCCTGTCGTGCATCCAGGACCTAGAATGTGCCAGCCTGGGGGGTTCTTTGTCAACCAGTGCAGACCTACCCTCAATGAGGACACAGTTCTGTTTTAGAAACATGGTCACATTCAAGTTCTCTCGGAAGCCACATATTATCATCATTTTTATTGATGGCAAACGGTAGCTCGCATCAGGGAGGTGATTCATTCGAAGTCCCTTCAGTGGGAAGTGGTGGAGGGTGGGAGTCACCCCAAGACCAGTGCCAGAGGACTCCCTCGGATTCTTTTCTCCGGATTCTTTTCTCAACACTAAGTGTCTTGATCCCCGTTTGTGTCATGTGCTAGGCACCTAATGAATATTTATGATAGAATGGGAAAAGCAAGGGTTTGGAGAGAAAGAAACCTGGTTCAAAACCGTGTTTTTTATTAAATCACTTGTTTAATTGTATTGTATTAATTGTTATTATTTATTTGCTTTAGGGCATGTGCACTCACCAGAGAAAGACAGACAGAAGGAAAATGTGCGAGCAAGCTGTCAGGTCTGGGACTCAAACCACAGTCGGCCACGTGGGAGTCCAGCTCCCTAAGCACCACATCACCTGCTGGCCCTATTGGTTCAAACTTTGTACAGCTTTGCATGGGTCATTGGGAGTGGGGGGTCTAAACCTCTGAATGTGCAGTTCGTTGTCACATACAGCTGATGCTAAAGATCCTACATGATCTTTCTAGTCACATAGGTTTGCTGGGAAGATCTCATGAGACACGGGGCACAGAGCCGGGCACGCAGCCAGCCCTGGTACAGTGCTGGTATGAGAGGGGAGAAACACACTCAGAATGGCCCGAGACTGCTCGTGGGTTTTCACCTTTACCGCTGCTTGTCCGAGGGCTTCACCTCCTAGCAAGGACGACGGCTCTCTGTACCCTTGGGCTCCGTATCTGCACGGCCCTCTATGACTAACCGCTAGGAGGATCCGCACTCTGATCTGGCTGACCTAACCCATCCGCAATCTCCACTGCTCCCTCTGCGGGCTCTGTCCCTTTCCGCATCACACCCCCCCCCCCCCCCCCCCCCCCCACACGCGCCCCCCCCACCTCCCGACTGGGGCACTCCCGGGAGATCCCAGAGTCTTGGGGTGAGCCCCTGTGAGACCTGGGTTCTAGCTTCTCACTTCCCTTCCGGCCTGAGGAGGGAGAAGGGAGGAAGGAGCGGACGAGGGTCCGGCTGCAGCTGGTCGGGCTGCTCCGGCCTGGAAGCTGCCTAGGTTCCTGGTTCCAACCGGGGCCAAGAGTGACACCTGATGCCGGGGGATTGTGAAACGGCCAGAGGTGGCAGCCCGCCCGCGGTGCCCGCTGAGCCCTCTAACCAACCCCACCCCCGTCCCCCTGCTCGGACCCGCCCCTTGGCCTGCTGCTGCTGGGCCTCTCCCTGGCTACAGGTGCGTAGGGTGGGGACAGGCTGAGCGCAGAGGGGCTGAGCCGCCCGCGCTGGGACAGAGCTAGGCAGAGGCGCAGCCTCTCCAGGGTATGAAGAACTGGGGATTCCTGGAGCAGAAGTGGGAAGACCTATGAAGACTAAAATGTGGGGACCCCTGGGACTTAAACAAGGTGACTTGGAGCATAGGGCGTGGGTCTAAGGTGCCGGAGCGGGGCAGAGATCACCGAAGGGTGAACTTGGGACGCGAGGGTCTGCTGCAGGTGGGGACTGGCTGGGGGGGGGGGGGGGGGGGCTGCCTAGACCCGGGACTTTCCGACGCTCAGCTGTGCCGGGTCCCCAGCACTGAAACTGGAGGGCTCTGAGCCCCTGGGGCCTGACGGGTGGCCCGCGCGCCAGAAACAGAATTCCCTGGACTTGAGATTCGGGTCCTGCGAGCGGGGAGTGGACATCCCTCTGGGACCCGCTCGCCCAATCGACTGCGCCTCTGCCAGCCCTCCCAGGCCAAGAAGCAGAAAAAGTGGGGGCGTGCCCGGAGCTGGCGGAGGACGTGAACTGCACGCAGGAGTGCGCCTCGGACAGCGAGTGCCGCGACAACCTCAAGTGCTGCCGGGCTGGCTGCTCCGCCGCCTGCACGATGCCCAATGGTAACCCCACCGCGACCCGCGCGGGGACGGGGTGGGGCCGGGCTGGCTGCGAGGAGGCGGGAGCGCCGCGGGTCCAGGAAGAGGGGCGCCGCGCCCAGGGACCCCGGGAAAGTCGAGGCGGGTGAAGGCCGATCCGCCCCTGCTTTCCCACTCGGGCCCGGAGGGAGACTAAGGCGTAGCTGAGGCGCAGCCGGGAAGGAGGCGGGGTGGGAGGTGCCCACACCTCCAGCTGGATTCGACTCTGGGGCATGACGGGCTTCCGGCAAGCACGGACCCGGACACTGTTCCGGGCGGCCTGGGCCCGGGGCTGCACTTTCGTCCCCGAGCGGCTGGAGCCTGCGGGGAAACCCGGGCTGGCCCCAGAGCTGGGTCCGCAGGCCTGGCCCTCCCGGAGTCCCTCTCCTGGGGCGCCCCGCCCAGGGACAAGGACTGAGAGCGAGGAGCCTTCCCTCCGGGAGAAAGGGATTCCGGATTTCGGAAAGCGCCCAGCTCACCTTGAAGATGTGGAAGTGCGCTTCCTGCCAGGGCTCAGGCTGCCCTCCTGTGGCTGCAGGAGTCATAGAAAGTTCCATTTGTGAATCCCTGCTTACTGACCCACTGATTTGAACCAAGTCAGGACCGCCTCCCCCGCTCCCGCGGCACCTGATCCCACTTCCTCAACTCTAAAGCACTGCCTTCACTCAGAGGGTTGAGACAGCAAGTTTGGGTGTCCCATCCCAGGCACGCTGGGGACTCGGATCCGAGCAGAAAGTGTCTTAGCATGAAACTCAAGCTCCTCATTTTCCAGAGAGACAACTTGAGGTTTAGAGACACAGATATGGAGGTGATGAAGAGTGGGATAGTGTAATCACGGTCTTTATTCAGAATACAGCCCCGAGACTTCTTTTCATTATTTCTCCCAAAGAGGACAGCAGAAGTCTGGGAATCCAGACGTGATCAACTGGGAGGTGGAGGGAGAGGACACACCCATTGAGGGCAATTTTTGGGTCTGGAGGCCCCTAATCTGGACCAGAGGGAGACCAGAAGGATGGATGGAGACTGGGAGAGAATGCAGGAGGCAGACAGATGAGACAGGTGGAGGAGGCAAAGAAGGAGCCCCCTGTCAGGTGAATGAAGAGCTTGTTCTCTTGTCTCAGATGGACAGACTGAGGCAGGGAGAGGGACAGAGCCAACAGCTTCCTGAACCAGGGAGTGACCCTGCAGGTTGGACTTCCAGTTCTGCCTCATTTTCCTCAACTGTGATGTGGCGGGGTTAGAGATATCCCCGAGGATGTACTGAGTTTCCACAGAAAGCATTGCACATGACAGAACTCTGCAGCGGTAGCTGTGCGTGTGTATGTGCGTGTGTGCGTGTGTGTGTAAGGGTGTATGGTTTCGGCTGTACATGGATAAGTGAGTGTGTAAGTGGGGCTGTGGTGCCGAGTGATTGAGGTGAGTGAAGAGATGATTGTGAGTGTGCAACCCCTCATACATGCTCTGCACTTTCAAGTTCTCTAAGAGGTTTGGTGCATAGTGGTTAGTGCATAGACTCTGGAGCCAGATTTCCCAGGGTTCGAATCCCACCTCAGGCCTGTTTACCCTTAGGCAAGTTACCCGGCTCATCAGTGCCTCAGTTTGCTCACCTTTCATGAGAGAACTATTTATGGACGCCTCCTCCTCTTTTAGGATTATGGCGAGGGTGAGGTGAGCTACCCACGACAGGTCAAGTGCTCGGCGTGGTGCCTGGCATGTGGTAGGCACTGACCGGGTGCTCACGGTAAAGATTCACAGTCATTACAGGGCAGTTTGAATTTCAGGAAGACGTTGTCTGCCTCTACTGTTCTCATAACCCCGTGAGGCCAGCAGTCCCGATCTGATGTGAACCCTGAAGACACTGGGGTTCCGGGCGTTTCTGGCCCTAGCTCGCTAAATTAGAAAATGGCAGAGCTGAGACTCAAACTGAGAGCTTAGGAGTCCAAAACTCCTGGGGAGCGGGAGGGGGGGGCGCTTGGCAGGTGGTCTTCCTGCCCCCCAGACCGACTCAGGCAGGCAGTTACTGTTGGTGAAGCCAGGGTAGGGGCACGGGGACTGTGCTAATGCCCTTGCTTCCCTTCTCACTGCCTCCCCTTTCTCCTTTTTTTCTATCCAGAAAAACAAGGTTCGTGTCCCAAGATAGACATCAGCTACCCCCAGCTTGGCCTCTGCATAGACCAATGCCACACGGACAGCGAGTGTCCTGGCCAGATGAAATGCTGCCTCAATGGCTGCGGGAAGGTGTCCTGCGTCACACCCACCTTCTGAGGTAGTGGGAGAGGAAGGAGGGGCATTGATGCCAGGTGTGTGGGTACCTGCTGCAGGTGTAAAGGGAGGCCTGGGCACACTGCTCTCCTGTCCCTGTCCACCTCCTTGCTTCCATTCACCCAGTGAACATTCACGGAGCATCCGTCATGCACTGTGCACTGCTCTAGGTACTGGGGGTGCCCCATGAGCAAACAAAGCAGACAATTTCTCTCTCAGGACTGCCCTGTGGCCTGGTTGTTAAGGGGGCTGGATCCCACCTGACCTTCTGTGGTTGGGCTGTGTGTGTATGTGTATGTGTGTGTGTGTGTGTGTACCCAAAATCTCAACAGGATCGAAAAATGGAGGAGAAGGGATTATGGGGTAATCCCACCCCATTAGGGGATGTTCCCTCCCTCCTCCTCCCTCCTCTGTCTCTCTCTGGTGAGAGCACGCGCCCTCCCTGGCAAATTATTTTAAAAAGAAATAAAGGTTCTGAAGAAGTTTATATGCTAGGGGACAACAAGCAAAGTAAAGGCAAGTAGCTTTTGTAGTATGGTAGAGAGAGGTAAGTTCCATGAGAAAAGGAGGACAGGGAGAGGGGCCAAGAGATAGGGAAGGGGGCACAGGAGCGGTGTTGCATGGGACAGTCAGTGGAGGCTGCACCAAGAACGTGGACTTTGGACAAAGACTCGATGAATATGAGGGAAGGACCTATGGGAACTCTGGGGAGAGTGTGGTGGGAGAGCGGATCAGCAGGTGCTGAAGCAGGAATATCCCTGGTCCATTTCAGGAAGAGCCAGAAGGCTGAGCCCAGTGAGCAAAGGGCAGAATTAAGAAGAGCCTGCACAAAGTCAGGTGGAGCGGGACGGCTCATCTGGGGCCTCACGGACCATTGTAGGGATGTTGGTCTTGACCTGGAGATGCTGCACGCTTGGAAAGGGACCTGCTCGAACACTGTCGAGGACCGCTCTGGCTGCTGTGTAGGGAGCAGGCTGCAGAGCGGCAGATGTAGGGAGAGGCACTGGGAGGCTCCTGCAAGAGACCAGGTGAGGGGCGACAGGTGACCTGGACCCAGGATGGAAGCAGGGCAGAGAAGTGGCCAGGTTTGGAATCTATGCTGAAGTAGGTGGGGCCGTAGTTACTGATGGATTGCACTACGTGGGAAAGAGACGGTTTTCTCCTGTGTTTAACAGGCACTTAAATAACTCAAGGGCTGGAGGAGCAGTGTGCTGGGGGAGAGGACAGGAACTGGAAGGGTTGGGGTTATTTTTGTTTGTTTGTTTTTGGGGGGTTTTACTACAGTGTGAGTGCACTCACCAGAGAGAGACAGAGAGGGAAAGTGAGAAATCACCCCCATAATCTCTTCTCCTCTATTCTCCTCTTTGGAGTTTGGGGGGATTTTCAAGCTGCTGAGTCCGGGACTTGAATCATGGTTAGCTGTGTGGGAATCCAGCACCTAAACCACCATGCCACCTGCAGGCCCAGTAGGAAGCTTGTTAGATCGCTGAGAGGCAGAGCTTGGCTTGGCAGTTCAAACGTGATTGAGGTCAGGTCACTTCAGTTTAGTCCGTCATAGTTTGCTTGAAGTGTGTCGAGTACTTACTCTGTGGCGGGTCAGGGCTAAATTCTGTGGCTGTGGCATTGAAAGGAGACTGTGATGTCTCCCCGCCCCCATATGTAGTTAAAAAGAAAACAATATTAAGCTGTAAAGTAAGTGTAAGGAAGTAAAAGTACCAACACAAGGCAACAGCAACAGCTTTACAGAGCATCCGTCCTGCACCACGCACTGCTGGGACAGGGGGCACAAAAAAAGTGACCATCGCCCTTCTGCAAAGTTGGGTGGCTGAGGATGATGGATGGATGACACTCTCGGTGCCTGTGGTCAGTGCCATGTGTGGCCGGAAATGGAGGAAATGTCACCCAGCAGGGTGGGGAGTTGATGGAGCAGGGACAGGGAGGATGGCTTCCCTGAGGGTGACCCAGGCCAGTCCTAAAAGACAGTAGAAGGCAGGGAAGGGGCCCAGTGAAGTGCAGTGAGGACGCTGCTGCAGGCGGAGGGAACAGGACAAGGACTCGGAAGTGCCCTTCGGTGAAACCCCATTGCTGTCCTGTGCCACCTTTTGCAAGGTCTCTGCACGAGAACCCGAAAATCACTTACGGACCCAACAGAGTATAGACAAGGAAACTGAAACCAGAGAGGAAGAGGGCTTGGAACCACGGTCCCCCAGGCCCAGTGCTCTCCCACGAGGTCAACCATCTCTTGCCTCCTTGAGCACTGAGTACCTGCTGGGCTAAGCTGTCAGGAAGACCCAGATTCAGAGTTAACTCTGACACTTAACTTGCCTCTTCATCTCCCTGAGCCACAATGATTTTGCCTATAAAATGAGGATAAATGATAAATAAGACCCACTTGATCAGTTAATCCCAGCTTAACCTAAGGAATGAAAACATGATAGAACTTTCTGGTGGTGGAGGGATTCTTAGGGAGATAAATGACTGTAGCCCTTCAGGAAGGCCACAGTGATAGGTGGGACCATAACATACCCAGGTGTGTCCTGGGGGCAGTGTGATGCAGAAGAGATGAGTCTAGATGTGCAGAGAAATACAAGCAGAGCCCTAAGGAGGCAAAGCTTTGCTATGGGGGAGAGCAGAGGGAAGGTTGTGGTAGGGGGAGTTAGTCTGGGGCCTAAGCTGCAGGTATTATTTTTAGTTTTTGTTTTAATTTGTTATAGGGCCTGTGCTCTCACCAGAGAGAGAGGAAAAGTAAAAAAGCACTCACCAGGGGCAATGGCCATGCCACAATCCCTTTATCATTCTCCTTTTGGAATTTTGGGCACACACACACACACACACACACACGTGTGCCTGGTATGTTTTTCAGGCCACTGGATTCAGGACTCAAACCATGCTGTTGCTCACATGGGTTCCAGCAGCCTTAACCACCAGGCCAACTGCTAGCCCTGGAGGTATTCTTGTCTAGTATGATGGATATTGTTGTTGATGGTATTATTGGGATTTCTTTCCTCCAGCCTCAGCCACCACCAGCCCGAGGAGCCGGTAGGGGACCGTTCTGCCTGGCCCTGCATCTGGCTCCAGCCCAGCTGCACCCCTCTTTCTGGCCTCTACATTCCCTCCTGGGCCAACCACAGCGTCTCCTTTTCCAACCAATAAAGCGACTGCTTTCAGCACGGTGGGTCCATGGCATCATTCCTAACATCCTCTGTCTCCCTGACTTGGATTGGAGTGTGTGGGCGGGGGTGGGGGGCACACAGTCCAGGAAGGGATCCACTCTGAAACAATGAACACGAATGCAGAGCTTGTCGCGTGTATTAGTGCTTTCCCCATGAAGCCTCGCACCAACCCCGAGGTGGCCCAGGCGGGTGAGAAACAGGCTCAGAGAGGTGAGAGATGCTTCCTAAGTCACTCTGATTTGTTGCTGGGGGTTCTGCTAGCAGCGGCAGCTGCACTGTGTGACAGACGCAGCGCTGGGAGACCTCGTGCGAACTCTTTACCCCACAGAGCCACCCTCACAGTTATAACTGTCCCACATAATAGAGCGGGGCTCCACAAGGTAACTTGACTGAAGCCACGCAGAAAAAACCAGATGGCAAAGCCAGGATCTTCGGCTGTTACTGTTTTGGTTTTGTTTTGCTTTTGCTATAGGGAGCGTGTGCCTAGTGTGTCTCACTGGAGATAGAGACACAGAGAGAGGGAAGGTAGAAATCATGCCCTGGAGAAATTTCCTTCTCCTCCATTCTTCCCTAGGGGTTCTGGGCACACAAACACACTTGCCCGGCAAGATTTTCAAGCTTCCGGGTTTGAAACTCGAACTGTGGTCAGCCATGTGGGAGTCCAGTGTCGTAATCACCATGCTACCTGCTGGCCACCATTATTACTATTTTTTTGTTGTTTTGTTTTGTTTTAAAGAATTATTTATTTAATTTTATTTACTCATTTATTTATTTTAATTTGAACAGAGAGAGACGAGAGAGAGAAATAGGCATGAGGTCCAGGACTCAGAACCGGGGTCAGCCATGTGGGAGTGCCCAGTGCCCTAACCATCATGCCACCTGCTGGTCACCATTGTTACTGATTTTAATTGTAGTCTTGTGGTTCAAAATTTGGGAGATCATAAAAAGATTATGTAGTGAAAACAGTCTTCCTTTTTATTGATTCACAATAGAAAAATGTTTGATTAGAGATATAAAAAGGAGCACAAATAGAGCAGCAGCCTACTCAGAAATGACCTTACAGCTACAAATCTATCTTTCACCTCTATCCACAGTTTAACCAAAAGGAGGGTGGAGATCATTCTTAATATACTGTTGTATAAGCTTCATATTTTTATTTGAAAAATTAGGAGAGTCCAAAAAGTTCATAGAAAAAGGAATTAAAGTACACATTTATTTTGGCTCAAAAAATGTTTCCCTGGAGGAAACAGTCTTTCACCCAAACTCCCTGCCCCCACCCTCCTCTCCTAACCACCCAGTCATTTCCTATAGAGACAACCCGTATCGCCAGTTTCTTGTGTATTATTTTTAAAAGGATTTATTTAATTTTATTTATTACTATTATTTTTAAAGTTGACCAGAGAGAGAGAAAGGGAAAGTGAGAAGGAAAGCACAAGGTTCAAGACTCAAACTACAGTTGGCCATGTGGGAGTCCAGAGCCACCTGCCAGCCCCCACCTTGTGTATTCTTTCAGATGCCTCTCTCCATCTCTCTCTCCCTTCTCTCTCTCTCAGTTCATTTCTATTCACTGTCTCTCTCACGCTATCGTTCTCTCTCTCCCCCTCCTCCCTCTCTATTCTCTCTATCCTTCTCCGTCCCTCCCCTCTTACCCCTCTGTTTATCCCTTCTCTCTGTCTCTTCTTTTCCATCTCCTGTCTTTATTCTTTCTGTTTCCCCTCCCAAGACCCCTCTCTGTTCTTCTCTCTATACAGTCCTCCCTCTTTCTCCCTTGTCTATACACCAAGTTCCCCCCCTTCCCCTCTCCCTCATCTCTAGCATCTATCTCTGTCTATCTAGGAATATTTCTTTTGGTCAAGGAACAGTAAGAAGTTATAAGAGTGAGCCAGAGCTTTAAAAATAGACTTGGCTGGGTCTAGCAGGTAATATAGTGGTTAGGGCACTGGATTCCCACAGAGCCACCTGCACCTTGGGGGCTTGGCGATCATGCCAGGCATGTGTGCATGCATGATGAGGATTCTGAGAAAAAAAATGGAGGAGAAGGGATTGAAGCATGGCCATCCTCCCTGGGAGGAGGGGGGTGATTTTTTACTTTCTCTCACTAGCAAGCACACATGCCCTGTGGCAAAAACCTAAAAGTAAATAAATAAATGGGAAAAAAAAATTTTTTTTCATTTGCCAGAGGGTACATGTGCTCAGAAACAGCAAGGTAGGGAGAGAGTGGGAGAAAGCCCTCCCCCAATAGGTCATGTTCATGCTGCAATCCCTTCTCCATTTCTCCATCCTGTTGGGATTTTCAGGCCCAGATGCACACACACCTGGTATATTTCTAAGCCCCTGAGTGTAGAATTCAAACCACACAGTTGGCCAGGTAAGATCTGGCTCCCCTAACCAGCAGTCCGCAGGGTTGGCCCCAAAAATAGAATTCTAAAGCTAGTCCAGTCAGGGAGAAGATTGTCTTGCCTGGGGAACAGCTTCAGCAGAGAAGTTTGGTCACTTAATATTTATGGAGCATCTACTTAGTGTTCTGTTCTAGCTGGTGGGCGTTCGACATTGAGGGGCCACTGTGTACATGGTGGCAGGGGTAGTCAATAAATGAATGAACCAACGTACGTATAATGTGTGGGTCGTGGAGAAGTTACAGAGAAATAAAGTTGGGTAACAGGAATAGTAAGTCCAGGGGACGGGACAGAGAAGGGGGTGATGACTTTGCCATATCACTGGGTAGTCAGGGAAGGCCTGGTTTAGATGTCATTCAAGTAGAGAACTGAATGAAGGGGGCATGAGCCTTGTGACAACCACAGGAAGAGGAATCCAGACCGAGGAAACTCCAGGATGGCGGGCCTGAGGTTGGAGCCTCCTTCAGCTGGTGCTGTTGAGGACCACCGAGGAGGCTGGCGGTGGCTGGAGCGAATGAGCCGGTCAGCGGCACGAGGGAGAGGAGGCCAGGGTGGAAGTGAGGGCACAGAACATGAGGGCATGCATCTCTGCAAAGACATTGCCTTTTATCCTGAGTAAATGTCAGGGCCACTGGAGGAGTTTGAGCAGAGCCACAACACGATCAGACTTAGCTCTGAAAAGGATCTTTCTGGCTGCTGAACTGGGAATAGACCATAGGGGGCAGTATGGAGTCAGGGAGGCAGGTGGGTTTCTGCAGGAGAGCAGATAAAAGGTGGCTTAAACAATTAATAATAAAAGCTCTTCATCCTATGGTATAAGGCTCTCCCCGGTCCCCCAAACTACTAGGTAGAATTCTCAGCTTCCTTAAATAAACCTTCATTGTGTCCCTTGGAAGTTTTCCTTCCTTATCTTCTAAAACACTAAATCTATAGAGCCCTGAGACACAGGGATGGAAAACTGCACACTTTTTAAAAAATTCATTTGCCAGTGGGCCCATGTACTCCCTGGAAGAAGACAGAGACAGAGAGAAGGAAAGTAAGAAAGCACCCCTGGGGGAAACGGCCACGTCACAATCCCTTCTCCGACTCTCTCCTTTCAGAAATTTGGGCAAAGACACACACACACAGGTGTGTATATGTGTGTGTGTGAGAGAGAGAGAGAGAGAGATTTTCACTATAGGGCACTTGCCGGAGAGACACAGAGAGACAGAAAGCAAGAAGTCACCCCCCAGGTGAGACGGCCACACTGCAGTCCCTTGTCCATTTTTGCCTCAGGATTTTGGGCACTCACACACACATGCTGGGTGTGAGTTTCAAGCCACTGGGTCCAGGACTCGAACCGCAGTCAGTCATGTGCAATGTAACCATTTCGCCATCTGCTGATACCCCTAATGTGTATTTGTGTGTGTGTGTGTGTTTTAAAGAATTATTTACTTATTTATTTAATTCCACTGTAATCATTATTTTTTAAAGATTTATTTATTTATTTTTGTTTATTTTTTAATTTGGCCAGAGAGAGAGAGAAAGGGAAAGTGAGAAAGCAAGCCACCAGGTCCAGGACTCAAACCACCGTTGGCCATGTGGGAATCCAGCACCCTTAACCACCATGCCACCTGCCAGCCCCATGTGTTTGTGTTTTTTAAAAAGATTTGTTTATTTAATTAATTCCATTTGTTGTTAGTATTACTTTTTAACTTGACCAGGGAGGGAGAGAAAGCAAAAGTGAGAAAGCAAGCCACCAGGTCTGAACAAACTGGAGTCCACCATGTGGGAGTCCAGTGCGCCAACCATCATGCCACTTGCTATACCCACCTCCAGTATGTTGTTTTGTTTTGTTTTAGAGAGAGATTTTTGCTATAGGGTACATGCACGAGACAGAGAGACAGAAAGCAAGAAATCACCTCCCAGTGGGTATGGCCATGCTATAATCCCTTCTCCTCTCGGAATTTGGGGCACGCATACACATGCACCCAGTGTTAAGTTTCAAGCCGCTGGGTCTGGGACTCAAACCGCAGTTAACTACGTGGAAGTCCAGCAATGTAACCATTATGCCATCTGCTGATCCCTCCTACCTCCCGCCCAGTGTGTTTTTAAGCCACCAGATCTGGGACTCAAACTGCGCAGTTAGCCACGTGAGCTCCAACTCACCAGGCCATGGGCTGGCCCAAAAAGCACACAACATTTAAGAGGGACTTCTATCATTGCTATTGCGGTAGCAATGCTGCCCAACAAGCCAGCTTAAAATTCAGTGGCTTAAAGCAACAGTCATTTCTCATTCCCACAGCTGTGGGTCAGCCGGAGTTCGGCGGATCTAGGCTGGCTCGGCTGGTTCTTAGACCAGCAGGCTCCTCGTGTTCTCACAGAGATGGCAAAAGGACAAACACACTCCCAAGTCTCTGTTCATCTATCTGTTAACATATCATTGGCTGAGACAGTCATGCCAAACCCAAAGTCAAACGGCAGAAAAACAACTCTGTCTCTAGTAAAAGGAACTGTGAATTCCTTGAGTATAACTGTGGGGAGTGGTGACGCACTGTGGCCAATAACTCATCAACCACAGTCATTATGTTCCATAACAAGACACCCTTAGGTTGCTCCGAT